TCCCCCCCCGGTAGACCCCCTCCCCCCTCAGGGTCCTTCCCCTTCAGGTGTGTCCCAGGTAGACGCTGTTGAGCCTGTCGAGGTCGCTGGTGACTCTGGTGCTGCTGAGGGTGCTGAGCCTGGGAGTGCTGACTCTGGGGGTGCTGAGCGTGTGGGTGCTACGCCTGGGGGTGCTGAGCCTGAGGGTACTACGACTGGGGGTGCTGAGCCTGGGGGTGCTGAGTCTAGGGGTGCTACGCCTGGGGGTGCTGCGTCTGGGGGTGCTGAGCCTGGGGGTGCTACGCCTGGAGGTGCTGAGCCTGGGGGTGCGGAGCCTGAGGGAGCTGGGCCTGCTGGTGCTGTGCCTGGCGGTTCTCCGGGTGCTTCTTCTCGCCGGGAGCCACTCTCTCCACAGGAGCTGCGTGAGTGGTTTGCCCGGCGCTGGAGGCGAGCTACTGGAGCTGGAGGAGCTGAGGGTACTGGAGTTTCTGTTGCTGCTGAGGGAGCTGGTGCCACGGGTCCCGGAGGTGCTCGTACTGGGCGTACTGGAGCTGCTGGACCTGCGGGTACTTCTGGAGTTGGAGCTGCTGCGGGTGTTGGCGCGGAGGCTACTGCTGTCGGTCCTGGAGGCGGTCCTGCTGGGGGTACTGCTGGTGCTGCTGGGGGTACTGGAGCTGGAGCTGCTACTGGTGCTGGTGCTGCCACAGGGGGTGCTGGTGCTGTCCCTACTGTGTCTGGAGTCGCCGCGCGGCCTCGGCCGTACTTCGTTCCGCTCCTTCAGCAGGTTCTTGGTCTCCCGTCTTCTACTGGTCCTCCTCCTCCCTTAGAGTGTCCACAGCCTGTCCCGTCGCAGTTACAGTTACAGCCGGCCTCCCCACTGCCTGCTCCGTCTCCCTACACTGGTCCTACTGGAGGTCTTGCTGAGCGTCGTGAGCCTGCGTCTCGCCCTGCGTCGCCTGTCCGTGCTGCTCGCACTAGTGGTCGTGGTTCGCGTCAGCGTCCTCCTCCTGTCCCTGGCATGCACCGGATGTCTCTGCGTCCGTCCACTGCTCCTCTGCGTGCCCCTTTGCCTTCTCCTCCTGAGTCTTCTCTTCCTGCTCTTGCCGACCCGGAGTCGGACTCTCTTCGTGCTGCCAGTCCTACTGTCACGCGTCTCCTTGCTACTGTTGTCACTGACCCTTCCTTTGAGTCCACTGCTGCGTCTGCCCTAGTTGCTGAGCTCGTCGACTTTGCTGCTCGCTGTCGCCTAGACTACGTCGCCAGTCTTGTTGCTGAGTCTGAGTCTGTCTGTCCTCCGTCCGTCGGGGGTGAGTGTGCCCTTGGCACGGACGTCCTTGAGGACAGGCAGGAGGAGTTCCAGTGCTTAGCCGCTGCTTCACCTCATCTCGTGTCCGTACTGCTTACCCCTGAGGGAGACCCGGATGCACTTGACATCCCGACTCCGCGCTCTTACGCGGAGGCGATAGAGGGTCCCTACTCCTCTCAGTGGCAGGCAGCTATGGACGCAGAGATGGCTTCCTGGAAGTCCACAGGCACCTACGTTGACGAGGTTCCCCCGCCTGGGGCGAACATCGTCAGTGGCATGTGGATTTTCAGGGTGAAGCGGCCGCCGGGTTCTCCGCCTGTCTTCAAGGCGCGTTACGTGGCTCGAGGCTTCAGTCAGCGGCAGGGAGTTGACTACTTTCAGACCTTCTCTCCCACCCCGAAGATGACCACTCTTCGGGTACTGCTGCACGTAGCTGCTCACCGTGACTACGAGCTACACTCTCTTGACTTCAGCACTGCTTTCTTGCAGGGCAGCCTGCACGAGGAGATCTGGCTGCGTCGCCCACCTGGTTTCACTGGGTCTTTTCCTCCTGGCACCCAGTGGAGCCTACGGCGGCCAGTCTACGGTCTCCGCCAGGCACCGCGTGAGTGGCACGACACACTGAGGACTACACTTGCGGCTCTTGGGTTTGCTCCCTCTACTGCCGACCCGTCGCTGTTTCTGCGCACCGACACTTCTTTGCCGCCGTTCTACATCCTCGTGTACGTCGACGACTTGGTCTTTGCCACAGCTGACACTGCTGGACTCGCCCACGTGAAGTCCGAGCTGCAGAAGAGACACACGTGCACTGACCTGGGTGAACTGCGCAGCTACCTTGGCTTGCAGATCACTCGGGACAGAGCACGCCGCACCATTACCCTGACTCAGTCACACATGGTGCAGCAGGTCCTTCAGCGCTTCGGCTTCACGTACTCCTCGCCTCAGGCCACTCCTCTGCCTACTCGCCACTCGCTCTCAGCTCTGCCTTCGGATGAGTCCGTAGAGTCGAGTGGCCCGTACCCAGAGCTTGTTGGCTGTCTCATGTACCTGATGACCTGCACACGACCTGACCTTGCATACCCTCTTAGCATTCTTGCACGCTATGTTGCTCCTGGGAGACACAGACCGGAGCACATGGCTGCAGCGAAGAGGGTGTTGCGCTACTTGTGCAGTACATCGGGCATGGGGCTTGTGCTTGGAGGGCAGAGTCCAGTGGTCCTTACTGGGCACGCAGACGCTTCTTGGGCTGACGACCAGGCTACGCAGCGGTCGTCACAGGGTTACACCTTCAGCCTTGGTTCCGGCTCTGTTTCGTGGCGGGCTACTCGCTCGTCTTCTGTTCTCGGCTCCAGTTGTGAGGCTGAGATCTACGCAGGAGCCATGGCTGCACAGGAGCTTCGCTGGCTCACCTACCTGCTGACTGACCTCGGAGAGCCGCCTCGTTCTCCTCCAGTGCTGTACGTAGACAACAAGGCCATGCTGGCCTTGTGTCGGGAGCAGCGACTGGAGCACAGAACGAAGCACATTGCTCTCCGCTACTTTCTTGCTCGTGAGCTGCAGCAGCGTGGTCAGCTGCGTCTTGCGTACGTGGCCTCTGAGGCCAACGCTGCTGATATCTTCACCAAGGCGCTTGCGCCTTGTGACCATCAGCGCTTCTGTACTCAGCTGGGCCTTGTGCCTACCTTGCCTCACTTGCTCACCTCTTGACCGTGCTTGTACTGTTACATATATATATACCTGCTCTTGCTTGTCTAGCCTTTTTACATATATGTACTCCTGCATGTGAACTGGCCTTGTGGCCTTGAACTTGTGCTCGGAATGTGTGGTGACTTTGTGATCCACCCTGAGCTTGCTTTGCTTTGCTTTACTTGACTGGTCTTGTGACCCCTTGTTCTCCCCCACTTTGCCTATGGGGGTGTGTCAGAACATTATAGCTCATGCATACTGTGTAGGCTATAGTGGGGTAGCCCATAAGGGGTACAACCCAATTAGGGTTAGTACTTGTACCAAATTCATTCATAGTTCATTCATTCCTTGTTTCTTCTCATGACTAGTCAGCTGAATCTGAATGCTGACGTATCAAGTTCGGGACCCACTATTGTACTGTTTCACTACTGTATAGTCTAACTGCGAATTTCAGAAATGCTAAGAGACCTACGTATATCTCTCAACAGCTACCAATGTTCGGTTTCGTGGCGTGCTGGCAAGGGAATCATTCCTAACCGACCCAATCGGACACGTGACTGCGGCCGACGCACGTACTGCACGGAAGGAATCCTCGGCACTTGTGTGATGAATGGAAATCACGATCTGACAAAATTCGGGGAAAGGGGGGCGTACGCTCTTCAGTGTAATCTTCGCTAAGGAAAAATTTGCCCCAAGCATCAGTGTGGCCTGTATTGATCACAGATCAGTGTAACACTAACTCACAAAAAAACTACCCCTGCACATCAGTGTAGACCCAAAATTTCACCCTTGTAACCAGTATAGAAGGGTAAATTACACTGATAACCTGAGCCCTGGCGCTGGCTGTACTGCGACCAATCCGAAGGGGGAGTTATCGGAAGGAAATTTCCTCGAAACATAGGCTCGATAAGGTCAAATTCAGGGACCACATATTCAACTCTATACAGTCAGACTCAGGAAACGACTAAGTCAGAAGCCTATTACATGTAACCAGGGGCCCCAAAACAATACCGGTAAGTTTGATGCATTTAATGATGAAAATTAGACTAGTCTGAAAATCCATTTTCCACAAAGTGCAAGGTCTGATTCTTCAGACTAATCAGACTAAATAGTCTGATAGCGTCAGCCCTGCATGCACCCAACACCCCCCATCCCACAAGCACCATCATTATTCTACAGGAAGGAACATCAATCACAAGCCAATCCCCCAATGTCAAGCTCACCAGAGAAAACAGTACTGCCTTCATCCACGAACAATCCACACTGAGCTATATGAAGGCATAGCCACATCATCTAAACCAGCACTTCATCTCGTTCAGCTGGTATCACGATTGCTACACCTTACGCAGCTGGCCACGCACAGCACCATCAGGGTAACGCTTGGTGTGGACATTCCCGTAGTAGCTCGAAGAGCGCTTCGCAATCTTGCTCAGATCCGCCTTCAGCTCCTCCGTGCGCTCGCTCTCGTTCTTCCCCAAGCTGCCCTCGCAGAGCCAGTATTCATCCCCTTTCTTCGCGTACACGCATGGCAGGTCCAGAAGCACGTCGCCGGTCTTCCCCTTCTTCCCAGCATGCACGTGTGTCTTGGTGGGCGGCATCTCTCCCTTGAGGCGACGCACGCTCACCTGGAACTTGACCCATGCTGGAGAGCTGTCACCATCACCATCAGCATCATCCCAGCAATGTTAAATGGAAAGCGCACACACAGATAAAGAAAGAAAGAAAAGGCTCTGGTAAAAGCTCAATGAACCACAGCAGAGAATTTCATATTCGATTCACTATTTTAAAACTAAAACCACATATACGGCAAACCTCATGCGATGAAGTCAGAATGTACGGTGCTTGTTGACTGCTTATCCAGACGCCTCAGCAATAGAGTTTGTGATTAAAAAGAGAGAGTACCCATAGAATGTGAGGCGCAGGTAGCCCACGCCTTGAGTTTTGAGACATCACAAAACCTTTCAGACGTCTAAAGATAGAAAACTGAATATGAGACATATAAAAAATCAGCGAGTGAAAGAGAAAGTACCTGTAGATTGTGAGGCGCAGGTAGCCCACGCCTCGCAGGTCACCCACAGAGGCTTGGCTGCCTTGGAGTTGTTCTTGGGAACCTCGTTCACTCCCAGGAGCGTTGCTGCAAAGGTGCCTGCAGGGGGGAAGGAACAGAAGGTCAAGGGTGGGATTCTTACCTGTGCAACACAGGTCTGTTGAACTCTGATGCCACTTCTATGCATCATGGGAATCATAAATTGCTGAAAACTAGGAATCAAACACGAGCATGCAGTAGGAGCAATCAAGACATTAGCAGCTACGAAAGCAGAAAACAATGGCTGCATGGCTTGCACCAGGAGTGAAAGCGATGAGAGTAGCAGGGGAGATATGGGGCCAGCAGTGGCGATAGCTGCAGGAGTAGCAGCAGCAATAGCAGCAGAGACAGCGGCAGAGATCGCCGCAGGGGGTAAACAGGAGAGATGACCTCAGGGGTAGCAGAAGAGACTCACAGGAGGCGTTGTCATCTCCCAGGGCAGTTGCCAGCAGCGCCGCAGCACAGCCTGCAGCAATTTCAGACAATCCGACCAACCAATCAGGATCCAAGGTCAGTCATTAAAAGTCTTGATCAGAGTGCGGTTCGCAGAAGAACAAACCAAGAAGAGCAACACAACCATGATTTGAAGCAGAAACACACTAGCGACTACGTACCGATCAGAAGCAGGACGCGAGAATCAAAGATTGCCATTCTGCTCACGGCGTCTCGCTACTCTGGAACAAACCCTCAGGCTCCTCACGCTCAAAGAATTGGGAGTCGTGGGGCAGAAATATTAGGCAGCCGCTGACGTGAGAACACAGTGCACGAAAAACGCAGCTGTAGAAGCAGCGAGTGGCAGTGGAGTGGAGCTGGAACGAAATCGTGGCTGTGTTGGTTGTGAGAGTCATGGGCGATACTATCTACGGTTTTAAACTAGACAGGCGGGATCCGAGGCGCCGCATCTGTGGGGGCACGGGCTCTCAGCCGCGAAGACCCAAGGCGCTGACGAAATTCCGCGCCACTGGCGCGAACCTCGCACACGCGACGCTCGCGTCGCACAGTCACAAACGGCGCAGGCGGAAACTCAGGAATCTCAGGCGGAATCTCCTGTAGAAGTTGTTTGCAAGAAGGTCAGGAATCAGGACGTTTCTCGGGGCTGGGAGTCCCGAGTCGCGGCTTGTCGGCGCGGCTGCATTGGATCGCGCCATCCCTCGCATTCGTCAGATTTCGATTCGCCAGATATCCAGGCTCAATCTTCTGATTAATCGCCAGATATGGTCCCATAACTTGTGAACCTGGGAGAACCACTTGAGTTTATCAGACCAGGTTCTACCGTCCAAGCAACTTGCTTCGTTGCATCTTTCACTGTATGTACACGAGTTTGTCCGCCAGGCGAAAGCGCAGAAGCGGCGGTTCCGGCGGCGAGCAAGCAAAGCGCAGGGTGCAGCTCACTACTGAATCGAAAAGGAGCGCATCGCAGAGTCTGATTCGAGGAGCCGCGATGGCCTTGGAAATGCGTGCTGAAGCGGGAACATCAGGCGAGGGTATAATGGCTGCGATGTCGGCACCGTCTGTGCATCACGGGTGGGAGGAGGAAGGGGAGGGTAAGGGCGGGAAAAAAGGAGGGGGAGAGGAGAGGACCGCCTCGACATCATCGATGCCAGCCACGTGGCACCTATTGAAGACACTGCAGGGGCGGGAGGGAGTGCTTCGAGCTTATGCTGGCGTGTGTGGGGAGGGGGGGTGGTGGGGGAGGGGGTGGGGGGCGGAGTTACAATACAAGAATGGTCAAGCCCACTAAAGCACAACTCTTCATCAGAAAACAAACTCAGTTAGGTAGCTCAATACTAGGCTACTAGACAAAGCAACTCCCTTGGATCTTGGGCACAATTCTGCTTCCATGGACCTTGAGTGACTTTGAGAGCCACATGAGGTGCATGAATAAGAAGGCTCTGGAATTCTCTGATATTGCTGATTCTGGATTGTAGAAACCTGTAGAAAGCGTTAACACTTTGGCTGAAAGTGATTCCGAACTATTAAGGGACTTTGGCTGAAATATGATTGGTTGCGGAAGTTTCTAAATATTTCGCGAAGCCTTGACTCCGTCGCTGACATTCCCCCTTGCTGCTCCTTGTGTGCAAAGGGATGGGGCGGCAGAAACTCGCTTCTCCAACACTCCACCTCGCACTAGACCCGAAGCACACTTATACCCATGCTTATGCTCTCACATCTCCTTATCATACACTCCATGCTGCTGCCCATGTCTCTTCTCCTCATACTCCTCATTCTCCTCAAACTGATGCACTGCTTCATGAAGTGTCATGAGGCCTGCTCTTGCCTTGCACATGTTGAATGCATCATGTGGAAGAACCCTGGTCATGAAATCTGCCGCTTGATCGAACGAACGACAAAAGTTGACGGCAAGAACTCCCTTTTCAAGCTGCTCACGGATAAAATGGTACTGCACCTCGATGTGTTTTGTACGGCCATGATGAACCGGGTTCTTGGAAAGAGCGATGGCTGAAGTGTTGTCCACATAGAGCGGAGTTGATTGAGTTTGCGGCTGCCTCAAATCCTCCAAGAGTCCACGTAACCAGATTGCCTCCTTTGCTCCTTCGGTCATTGCCATATACTCAGCTTCGGTTGTAGAAAGCGCCACACAACTTTGCTTGCGTAATTGCCAAGAAACAGCGGCACCGCACATGAGGAAGATGTAGCCGCCGGTGGATTTCCGTGTGCGCAATTCTCCCGCCCAATCTGCATCAGTAAAGCCTTGGAGGGAGCTTGCATGTGGGCTAGCTTGGAAGAGAATACCAAGATTAGAAGTACCTTTTGAGGAGATTACTCTACAACGGCAGTGAGCTAGACTATGGGGTTGGCACGAACTACTAGAGGTGATCGTAGCTTTGCCTAGTTCCTTGGTGCTTGCACAATCACGGGAGAAATTGGCAAGAGTTTCACTAGCAAAAGTTGGAGTTACAGAATTGTTGAACAAGCAATGACAAGAATGACTACATCAGGCACCTAGCAACTCTGCAGCTATTCTGGTCGACAGACAGCACAGCATGGTCGACCGCCTGCCAGCGTTGCGTAGAGGAGCCGCGCCAGCACTGCAGAAAGGCGACCTGCCAACACAGCAAGTCGACGGTGTGCCAACGCTACAGCAGAGCGATGGTCCAGCGTTGCTCCGTAGAAGACAGCAGTGCGCACGCTCACAGATGCGCGCAGACGATTGGCCCGACTTGCACCGTTGTGCATCCGTCGGCTATTGTCTGCGCATGATGAGCCACATCGACTTCGGGATACCAACCCGAAGTCGCCTTTGCCATCGCGACCTCGACGACGTTTGCGTGCCTCCGCAGAACTCGCCGAGCAGGTTACCCGGTTGACCAGGACGACCCCCAAGTGCCTCTGGTCGACCACCGGGTCCCTCTGGTCGATCACGGCTCCCGTCGAGCTATCCCCTAGTCGACGGACCCCTTCCGTCGATCAGAACTGTCAGCTGTTGTCGCCGAGCTCCCCTCGTCGACCGCTTCTCCCCTGTCAGGTCGACGGACTGCTCCGTCGACCTCCTGGTCGAACTGCTCCTCCTGGTCGACGGCACACCCATCGCCCATACCAGTCAGTTGCGGCTGTCGACTTCCCTGGTCGACAGTAACAACACAGCGGTCCCCTGCAGCTCGACGAAGCGTGTCGAGCAGCTCTCCCACTACTGATGGTCGGCTGCTATTCCCGTGCATCCGACCAGGTTGTCGGCGTTGCCCAAGCGAGGGCGGGGCCAACACTTCACTCCCGTTAACACTCCCCTGCCGCGCTCACGCTTGGGCCCCCAGCCCACACGGCAGTACACTACGGAGAAAACCCATCCTAGGTGTGCACCCCTCGCACAGCACGCCATCACCGCACCAGCCGTGCAAAAGAGGGCACGGCACCTACTGCTGCAGATCATCGTCGCCGTCGCCGACGTCGACCAGACGAACTTGGCCGATGGCGACAGAGCACCGGTTGAAAGCCGGAAAGTGCAGAGCCTTCGTCAGGAAGTCTGCCGGCTGCTCGGTGGTCGGGATGTACTTCAGTACAAACTTCCCGCGCCTCACCATGTGCTGCAGCCAGGCATAGCGTCGCTCCATATGCTTGAGGTTGCCCGTCAGCCCCAACCCTTCAGCGTCCGTAATTGCCGACTTGTTGTCGACGCGCAGGATGGTCGGCTTCCCAGCGTTGAGCAGCTTGAATTCCGCAAGAAGGAAACGAAGTCGGCGTCCCTCCTTGCTGGCATTCGTGGCCGCAACGTACTCCGACTCTGTCGATGATAATGTCGCGCACTTGATGCGTGAGCTCGACCAGGAAACGGCGGCCCCTCCGTAAACGAACACGTAGCCGCTCGTGCTCGTCCGATTCTGCTTGTCGCCTGCATCATCGGTGTCCACGTAGCCGATCAGCTCCAGCGACTCTTGTCCACCGCCGAACTCCAGGGCGGTGTCGCGGGTGTCAGCGAGATAGGCGAGGCAACGGTCGACCTCGCGCCAATGCTGGTCGCTCCTCACCGTGAGGCCGCTCCCCAACTTGCTGCAGGCGAACGCGATGTCCGGCCTCGTCGTCGTCGCCGCGAACTGCAGCGAGCCAACCTTCTGCCGGTACTCCTCCTCCTCACGCTCCTGCGCCTCCTCGTCGTCGAATGTCAGCTCAGCGTAGGCATCGACCGAGACCGGCGTCTTTGGGACACGACCGCCCTGCTCCTCGTCGATGAAGCGCCTGCGCAGCTTATCGGCGTAGCCCTGCTGGTGAAGCTACAGCTTCCCTGCTGGCCTGTCGCGCACGATCTCCAGCCCGAGGTACTTGATGACTGGCGAAATCTCACGTAGCTTGAAGGCAGCTTCCAACAGTTCCTTTAGCTCCTTCAGCATCGCGGGGCTGCTGCTGGCAGCGAGCAGGTCGTCGACGTAGACCAGCACCCAGCAGGTCACTCCGTTGTCGCCGGCCTTGAAATAGAGCGCCTCGTCGACCTGGCTCTTCTTCCAGCCAGCGCCCAGCAGCACTCCGTCGAGTGCCCTATACCACAGCAGCGGCGACTGCTTCAGCCCGTAGAGACTCTTCAGCAACTTACACACCCGGCCAGTCCCATCGTCGAAGTAGTCCGGCTGGTACATGTAAAGCACCCTGTCGAGCTTGCTCTGCAGGAAAGCGTTCTTCATGTCGAGCTGCATCAGGTTGAGGTCGAAGACGACGACGATGCTGAGGAAGATCCTTAGCGTGACGTAACTGCTCACCGGCAAGTACGTTTCGTCGTAGTCGGCACCGCACACCTGCGTGAAGCCCTTCACGACCAGCCTCGCCTTCTCGCGCTCGACGGTGTCGTCGAGGCTGTACTTGGTCGTCAGCACCCACCGGTTCTTCATGATGTTCACCCCGCGTGGGCGTTCGACCAGCTCCCAAGTGCCCATGCCGATGAGACTGCGGATCTCTTCTTCCATGGCGGCCTTCACCGCCTGCCCCTTCCAGCTCGCCAGCGCCTCCTTTACCGTCATC